GATGGAGGTGAGAAAGGGACACCAGACTGCAGAGAACCATCAAGTGTCTGGAGGGGGGAACATGACAGGATGGGAACTAGAAGGTTCCGGAGATGGGTTAGTGGGTGGGCTAGACTTTAGAACACAGCAGAGGCGTCATACATTAAGAAAGAAGGTTGGGGGAAATTCCTAACATCATGCCATCATGTGCAGGAAAGCTTGAGGTGAAGGTCCCTTTGAGGGTGCTACCAGTTGAACCCCTAGACCTGGAATCCTAGGGCTTCAGTGAAGGAAATTCCTTTCATAGTTGGGGTCCCAAGGAGTCTGTGTTGAACACCTGAAACCCAATGGTTCTGGACATCTTTGACTCCCCTCTTTCTTTTACCCGCCCCACTTCCATATCAGCAAATGCTCAAGCTCTGAAATGTATCCTGTACCCATCTCCCAGTCCAGGCCACTTGACTCCTCACTTTGGAATGAAATTTTTGCGTTTCGGTGTCTCCAGGTAAAGCTTCCTAGAACACAGCTGTATGCACTTGTCACGTACAGCCTACGGCAGCTGTCAGGCTACAATAGCGAGTGGTTTGGTTCACTGATACTAGCTAGTATTGTCACAATCCTATGAGGCCCAGTTGGTCTGTCTATATCTTGTAGCTACACCATTGTTATAAGTTTCCTGTGGCAGCCATAACAAAGAACCACAAACTGCGTGGCTTGAAACAACAGAAATTTGTTCTCTCACAGTTCTGGAGGCCAGATGGCTGAAACCAAGGTGTCTACAGGGCTGAATTCCCTCCAAAGTCTTTGTGGGGAATCCTTCCTTGCCTCTTCTCTGCTTCTGGTGTTTGCTGGCAATCCTTGGTATTCCTTGGCTTGTAACATCATGAACCGCATAACGACATTTCAGTCAATGATGGACCACATATACGACAGTGGTCCCATAAGATTATAATGGAGCTGAAAAATTCCTATCATCTGGTGACATTGTAGCCATCGTAACAAAGTAGCACAATGCATTACTCACATGTTTGTGGCAATGCTGGTGTAAACAAACCTACTGCGATGCCAGTCATATAAAAGTATAGCACATACAATTATGTACAGTACATAATACTTGATAATAAATGACTATGTTACTGATTATGTATTTACTATACTATACTTTTTATCATTATTTTAGAGTGTACTCTTTCTGTTGGTTAAAAGAAAAGTTTACTGTAAAGCAGTATGCCATGTTGCACTGGCAGTAGCCTCATACATCTCATGTTGAAGGCATCTCTTGATTGCATCATTTTCTCTTGTGCTTGATTTAATCTCATGTTTTGCTCCTCATGGCCCCTAGGCATACAAAATGCACTGCTATTGTTGCCAGTAAGACACCATGCTGAGTGATTGTCCTGGAAACAAAATTAAAAGTGATTAAAGACTACAAAGGTGGAAGATCAGTCACGGTTATTCCTCACCAATCAGGCATGTCCAATTCCACCATAGCTACGATCTTGAAGAACAAGAACAAAGTGATGGAAGCTGTGACAGGATCTGCTTCATTGAAGGCAACAAAACTAACAAAAATTTGAGAATGGCTCATATCAGACATGGAGAAACTTCTAATGACCTGTGTTGAAAACCAGACGCAGAAGTGTATCCCTCTCAGCACCATGACAATCACAGCCAAAGCAAAAAGTTTGTTCGTGATGTTGAAAGAAAAGGCTGGATCCGACTACAGTGTTAAATTGACTGCTAGCTCAGTGCGGCTTAAATGATTCAAGAATTCTTATTCATTACCTAATATGAAACTGAGTGATGAGTCTGCGAGTGTTGATGTGAAGGCAGCTGAAGAGTTTTTGGAAACTCTAGATAAGCTGATTGTGGAGGAAAATTACTTGCCAGAGCAAATATTCAATACGCGTGAAACCTCCCTATTCTGGAAAGGGATGCCTGAAAGGACTTTCATCCATAAGGAGGCCAAGTCAATGCCAGGTTTCAAGGCTTTTAAGGAGAGGATAACAGTCTTGCTTGGGGGCAATGTTGCAGGCTACAAATTGAAACTATTTGTGATCTGGCACAGTGAGAAGCACGTCACCTTCAAGTATATCAATAAGCACACACTGCCAGTGTACTGCAGGAGTATTAAGAACTCATGGATTACCCAGGTCCTCTTCCAGGATGCCCTCCTGAATTGCTATGCCAGTGAAATGGAGAAGTACTGTTTGGAGAATAACATACCTTTCAAGATTCTGCTTATTGTTGATAATGCTCCCCGACATCCTCCTTTTATTGGTGATCTTCATCCCAATATCAAAGCAGTGTTTCTCCCTCCAAACACCACCTCTTTGGACCAGCTCCATGGTTTAGCAGTTAAGTGCGCGCGCTCCGCTGCTGGCGGCCCGGGTTCGGATCCCGGGCATGCACCGACGCACCGCTTCTCCGGCCATGCTGAGGCCACGTCCCACATACAGCAACTAGAAGGATGTGCAGCTATAACATACAACTATCTACTGGGGCTTTGGGGAAAATAAATAAATAAATAAAAATCTTTAAAAAAAAAAAAAAACCAAACACCACCTCTTTGATCAAACCAATGGATCAAGGAATTATAGCAGCTTTTAAGGCCTATGACCTGAGGAGGACCTTCGCCCAGGCTATCGCTGCAGCTAAGGAAGACACTGAGATGACACTGATGCAATTCTGGAAGGATTACAACATCTATGACTGCATCAAGCACTTTGCTTGGGCTTGGGGTGATGTCACCAAGGAATGTAGGACTGGTACCTGGAAAAAGACACTCAAGAGGTTCGTCCATGACTTCAAAGGATTTGCCAAGTATGAAGAGGTTGGAAAAATCAATGAGGCTGTTGTTGAGATGGCAAACACTCTTAACCTCAACCTTATGGTGTGGATAAGGATGACACTGAGGAGCTCCTAGAGATGGTTCCTGAGGAACTGGCTAATGAAGAGTTGTTGGAATGGGACAGGAATGCACAGCTGAAGAGGAAGCAAGAGCGAATGAGACTGCCGGAGAAGAAAAAGAAGAACTTCCAAGAGAATTCACAGTGTAGGGTTTAGCAGAATCTCTTGCAGACCTCAACAAGCTCCTTAAAATGTTTGAAAACATGGACTCCAACACTGAAAGATTTCCATTAATAGATTTTCATTAATAATATTTCATTAATAAAGATTTTCATTAATGCATTCATGGTGCATTATCTGCTTGCAAGCAAACCTGTGATTAAAAAAATAAACAAACCAAGCAAACCACCATGGATATATTTCTGAAAAGAGTGACATGTCCTTAAGAAGAGCCTCAGGTAGGTCCTTCAGGAGCTATTGCAGAAGAAGGCATTGTTATCACAGGAGATGACAGCTCCATGCATGTTAGTGCCCCGGAAGACCTTCCAGTGGGACAAGATGTGGAGATAGAAGATGGTGATATTGATGATCCTGACCCTGTGTAGTCCTAAGCTAACGTGTATGCCTGCTTTTAACAAAAAAGTTTAAAAAGTAAAAAAAAAATTAAAAATTTTAAAAATAGAAAAAAGTTTATAGAATGAGGATACAAATAAAGAAATATTTTTGTACAGCTGCGCAATGTGTTTGTGTTTTAAGCTAAGTGTCATTACAAGAGAGTCAAAAAGTTTAAAAATTTTTTGTTTATAAAGTAAAAACGTTACAGTAAGCTAAGGTTAATTTATTATTGAAGAGAGAAAAATGTTTTTTTTATAAATTCAGTGGAGCCTAAGTGTGCAGTGTTTGTAAAGTCTACAGTGGTGTACAGTGAAATTTTAGGCCCTAACATTCGCTCATTACTCACTCACTGACTCACCCAGAGCAATTTCCTGTCCTACAGCCTCCATTCATGGCAAGTGCCCTATACAAGTGTACTATTTTTTTATCTCTTGTACCATAAAAGGCATGGTGTAAAAGATATACTGTACCTTTTCTATGTTTAGATACACAAATACTTACCACTGTGTTACAATTGCCTACAGTATTCAGTACAGTAACATGCTGTTCATCTTTGTAGCCTAGGAGCAACAGGCTAGACCATAGAGCCCAGGCGTGTAGTAGGCTATACCACCTAGATCTGTGTAAGTATGCTCTATGATGTTCGCACAACGACGAAATTGCCGAACCATGCATTTCTCAGAATGTATCCCCGTGATTAAGCAACACATGTCTGTAGATGCGTCTCTCCAATGTCTGCCTCTGTCTTCACAGGGCAGTCTTTCCTCTGTTCTCTGTGTCCTCCCCTTCTCTTAGAAGTTCCCCAGTCACTGGATTTAGGGCCCATCCTAATCCAGTATAACTTCATCTTGACCTAATTACATCTGCAAAGACCCTTATTGCCAAATGAGGTCACATACCGAAGTTCTGGGCTGACATGAATTTTGAGGTGACACGATTCAACCCACTACAGCCATCAAAAACAAGGTGGCCTTCCCTTGTGGATCACAGGGGAAGAGAGAACTGAATAGTGATGTGGGATGTTTATAAGAGCAGGCCACGGAAGTAACCATTCCTCTGCTTCTACTCTCTTTCTATTGGGAAGCCCAGTCACGTGGCCCCACCAGCTGCGGCCCGGCACTGTGCCAGGGAGGCTGGGAAGATGGAAAGGAGCACATGGATATTTGGGGAACCCCCCTCCATCCCTGGCTGCTTGCTGTATACCCCTAGTGCCCAGCACTGCATCTGGTCCAGAGTAGATGCTCAATGAAGGTTTGTTGCATGATTGAATAAATGAATGAGTGAATGAGTACCAGGAAAGTAAAGGTGGGGAGGCCAATAGGAAGATTAAAGGGCAGGGTGGGGCAATTCCCTGGCCCACCCTTTCTGGGCGCTGGAGACGGGCAGAAGGGAATTTCCCGCTCTAGTGTAATATCTCAAGCCCCTCCCTTCAGCCGACATCCTCAGAGTGAGGCGGGGCCTGGCAGGTTGAGACAGGCAAAGCCGCCGCGGAGGACAGAAGTTTCCTTCCCTCTTCCTGGCTGCCCTGTGTGCGCCCCTGGCCGCGCCAGCGCACGGCAGATGCAGCGCCGGCCGAGGACCACGATGGCGGAGGAAGGCTCGGGCTGCACCCTGCGCCGCCCGCCCTGGGTGTCCATCCTGCGGGTTGCTTTCCTGCTGTTTCTCATCGGCATGGTGATATATTGCTTTCTCTGCAACCAGCGCCTCGCACAGCAGCATCAGCTCGAATCGCCTGGGGTAAGTCGAGAAGGGAGGATGAGAGAGAGACGCACACCTGCCACCTGTTCGTGGAGCGTGGGGACCTCCGGGTGGGGCCTGGCTTTGCGGGGGGCGCGGAGGGGAGGTGAGCACCCGGGAAAAGAATTGGATCGAGGCAGAGGCATGGTGAGCTAGAGGGTAGACTGACTGATAGACTCACGATTTAAGAAAATGAAAAAGACAAAATCAGAATGAGATGGATAAAAATCAGCCAGGAAGGAAGATCTGGTTGGATAGGGACAAAGCAAGAGATAAAGAGACTGAAGCAGGGAGGTAGGGCAGAAACAAGGCTGCTCTGGGGGTCTGGGACAGTCAGTTCTGCCCAGGAGGTAATTCCCGGGTGGAGATCCCGGGGTGAAAGGATGTATCTGGGGGAAGGTGCATCCGATGTGGGCTAGAAAATGACTCGTCTTTGGTGTTCCCCCAGCAGGCTGACTCAGAGGCTGCTGGGGGCTTCACAAAGCTGGGAGGGAGGGTTCCGGGGCCTCCAAAGACGGGACCAACTGCAGGCACTCATCTGGGAGCCCTGGACACCCACCACCGGGACCCCCTTGTTGGGGCAGCGCAGGGGGCTTTGCCGTGAATAGAAGCAGGTGTGCACGGCGCCCGCGATCTGTCCAGGAAAATGAGAAGTTCTTTTGAAGGTCTTTATGCTCCCTGCTGGTTCAAATCAACTTCCTCTTTAAGAGATCTTAAAAAAAAAAAAAAAAATCATGTCAGCTCGGTGGGATGAGGGGTGGATAGGAGGGTGGGCAGAGAAAAGACAGTTCTTGACCTAGGGGGCCCTCAGAACCCCGGGGCTTATGTTTCTGCTCCGTTTTCTCTGGTTTTCTTCCAGTGGGACGTCGCTGAGCTCCAGCTGAATCATACAGGTAACACGGGGTGCACGTGGGTGTGCGCGCGCGCGAGAAAGGGGGAGGGGGGAGGAGAGAAAAAAAGGAAAGAAATCGAGAGAGAGAGAGAAAGAGAAAGAAAGGAATTGAGAAAGAGAAATAGAGAAAGGGATAGAAAGATAAATAGACAGAAATAGAACAAGAAAAAGAGACGGGGGAGAGAGAGAGACAGGGCAGTATTTTTGTGGGTGTATTCTACCTTACTCTTTCTCTGGGTCCTTCCTGTGTTCTCTTCTCCCCGGGAAGAGCCAAAAAACAATGCCAATAGTGATCGCCAACATTCCTTCATTCCACAAACATTAGTTGAGCAGCTACCGTGAGCCAGGCACTCTTCCAGGAGCCACCTTAGCGACGAGAACAGACAAAAATTCCCCGCCCCTCAGAGCTGCCCTTCTACCGAGGGGATCAGACAATAAATAAACGAACCAGTAAAATATGCAGCATGTCAAGTGGAGCGAAACACGCATATAGTACGTTCTGGGGAAAAATTAAGCAAGGGAGGAGGATTGGGCTTGCCAGAGTCGGCTCTCCGAGAAGGTGGCATTTAAGCATAGATGTGAAGGAGGTGAGGGAACCAGCCATTCTGCGGTCCCTGCCAGCCTCTCTCCCTTTTTGCGTCTCCCACACTCATCCCCAGAGGTGTGGGTGCTGTGGTCATTCCATTTTGTAAGACAGGGAATCCCTGTTCCTCTTTTTCTTCTCTGGCACCTTCTGTTCCGATGATGATAACAGAAGACCACAAATTAGGGTGGCTTATACACAACAGATATTTATTTCTCAAGGTTCTGAGGCTACTGGGGAAGTCCAAGATCAAGGTACCTTCAGTTTCGGTGTCCGGTGAGGGCCCATGCCGTGGTTCATAAAAAAACATCTTCACACTGTGTCCTCACATGGCAGAGGGGGCAAGGGAGCTCTCTGGGGTCTCTCTCTCTTTTTCTTTCTTTCTTTTTTTATTTTTTATTTATTTTTTTTTGAGATACAATTGACATAGAACATCATATTAATTCCAGAAGTACACCATAATGATGGGTTATTTGTATATATTGTGGAATGATCACCACAATAAGTTCAGTTAACACCCATCACCACATACAATCAAAATTGTTTTTTCTTGTGATGAGAACTTTTAAGATCTACTCTCTTAGCAACATTCAAATATGCAATACAGGATTATTGACTATAGTTACCGTGCTGTACATTACATCCCATGACTTATCTATTTTATAACTGGAAGTTTGTACCTTCTGCCCACCTTCACCCATTATGCCCACCCCCACCCCCGCCTCTGGCAACCACCAATCTGTTCTCTGTATCATGAGTTCACTTTTTTGTTTTTTTTTAGGTTCCACATATAAATGAGATCGTACTGTATTGTCTTTCTTTGTCTGACTTACCTCACTTAGCCTAGTGCCCTCAAGGTCCATCCATGCTGTCTCAAATGGCAGGATTGCCTTCTTTTTTTATGGCTGAATAATATTCCATTGTGTATATATACCACATCTTCTTCATCCATTCATCCATCAATGGCTATGGGGTCTCTGTTATAAGGGCACTAATCCCATTCACCAGGGCTCCACCCTCATGACCTCATAAACTCCTCCCAAAGACCCCGCCTCCTAAAACCATCACCTTGGGGATTAGGTATCAACCTAGGAATTTTGGACATTCAGTCCATAGCACTCAGTTTCCCTAAACCTCCATCATTCTGCCCCCTAACTCTGCCTCCAGGACCACGGCAGGACTTCAGGCTGCACTGGCAGGGCGGTCCGGCTCTGGGCCGCTCCTTCATGCATGGACCAGAGCTGGACAATGGGCAGCTGCGTATCCAGCGCACTGGCATCTATAGGCTGCACATCCAGGTGACTCTGACCAACTGCTCCTCCTCCACATGGACCAGCACGCTCCACAGGGCCACCCTGTCTGTGGGCATCTGCTCCCCCACCACCCGCAGCATCAGCCTGCTGCGTCTCAACTTCTACCGCAGTTGCACCGTCACCTCCCAGCGTCTGACGCCCTTGGCCCATGGGGACACTCTCTGCACCAATCTCACTCTACCGTGGCTGCCATCCCGAAATTCAGATGAGACTTTTTTTGGGGTTCAGTGGGTGCACCCCTGACCATTGTACCTCTTGGCCCAGATTTGTTGGGAGAGGATATTTTTTCTCTTTGTTTACATTTTCTTATAGATCTTTTATTTCTTGGTGCATACAATATCTATGATGTTGTGATTTATATTAAAAAATGTATATGTGATCTTCGTCTTATTTCTGGCACAGAGCTCCTAAAGCCCTTGGAATTTCCTAAGTGAAGAACGCAATAAAGATGTCTCTTGTTATGTTAGTGAGGTGACATTTGGAAAGCTCCTAGGTCACCTAAGAAGGGGGGCTGGTTGCCAGGGGAAGCAACCATGTCCTTAAAGGGTTGAAAATTTCAGCCCCATCCCAGACTTCCGGGGAGGGGAGACCGGCTGGAGATTGAATCAATCATCAATGGCCAGTGAATTAACCAATCATGCCTATGTAATGGAGCCTCCAGAAAAACCCAAAAGGACTGGGTTCAGAGAGCTTCTGGGTTGGTGAACACGTGGAGATTTGGGGAGAGTGGCATGCTCAGAAAGGGCATGGGAAGCTCTGCGTCCTTTCCCCATACCTTGCTCTATGCATCTCTTCTATCTGGCTCTTCCTGAGTTATGCTTGTTGGTGTGAGGAACCCCCACCCACACGTTGGAATTGGCACCAGAACCAATTTAACCTTTTCGACAGTTGAGCAGACTGAAGGATAGCTTACTTAAGTAAGGATATCACCCATTTCATTAAGGCAGAAGATAAAGGATAATAATATTATATTATTTGTATAGTAAATATTGTGGTGGGTAAAATTTTGAAGTATTAATTAATGGAGTTTTATTTATTTATTTACTGTCTATTTGTGGTCTTTCCCTTATTTTCCATCATTTTGTTCCAGCCACATGGTCCTTGCTGTTCCTGAGACACACTGGGCACACTCCAGCCTCAGGGCCTTTGCACTGGCTGTTCCCTCTGCCTGAAATGTTGTTCCCTCAGATGGCCACATGATTCACTCACTCACCTCCCTCCGCCTTTGTTCCAATAGTCACTGGTCCTTTCTGACTGCTTTATTTAAAACTGCATTTTAAATAAAGTGCACCTCCAACTCAGCATTCCCTACCCCCCGTCTCTGTTTGTTTGATCTGTTCAACGCATTAAACAAGAAGGCCATCAGACTGATGTTACTCTAATGCCATGGCAGCATACATAAGCAAACCAAAATCTAAGCAAGTTTACAAAATCAAAATGCTAAGCACAACCAATCACAGACAACCAACTAGGCTTTAAACTATAGCCGATCAATAATTTCCTTACTTTGCTTCTTCCACCCATTCTCTGTAAAAGTCTCTCCCCAAGCTCCTGTTGGTGGAGCGCCCCTAATGGCTTCCAGTTTGGCACTGCCTGATTCAAATCAATTTTTGCTCGAATAAACTCTCAAAATGTTTAATATGCCTCAGTTTACCTTTTAACAGGGCTCTATCATATTGATCACCCTGGAATGTATTAGATAAATCCACTTATTTATATTGCTTATTGTCTGCCTTCCTGCTATATCCCACTAGAATGGAGACCCCATGAGGTCAGGAATTAGAGTCTGTGCTGTTCACAGCTGCAGCCTCTGTGCCTAGGAAATTGCTTGGCACCTGTTTTTGAATGAATGAATTCTATCAACTAGAATTTTACGCCCACCCCTTTCCTGATCCACAAAGTCCTCTAAGGTCTTAGGTATCTCCTTCTCCTCAGCAGGTGGCGGAGACCTTGTATTACCAAACCAGGTTCATTTTGCCTACCACACACTATGCCAATCACTGAAACAATGAGTTTGCAGCAGAAAAAGGGTTTATTCACAAGGCAGCCAAGCAAGGAGATGGGAGAATGAGTCTCAAATCTGCCTCTCCGAAAATGGGGATTAGGGATATGTATGGAATAGAGGGGCAGAGTGGTCTGAAGTGTGGGAATAGATGATTGGATGGGAGGAGAAGTGAGGTGATTGATGATCTGCACAAGCATAGTCAAGCTTCATACGGCTTTTCATAGGATGCATGTTCACAAAATGGTGGCGTTAGCATGATCTGAGGGTGGAGTTTTCAGCATCAAAGGGTCACGTATCGGTCTTCCACACAGGCCCAGTTGATGAGTCGGTGGTCTTAACTGGCCTGAACTGGGCAAGGAATTGACTCTCAGTTCCTGAAAAACTTAAGCACCCATTACCATGGTGACCAAAGCATCAGAGATGTTATCTATAGAGCGGGCTTTACTAATGCATTATCTAACTACTTTGCAAAAAGACAACTAACTGAGTATAGTTAAAGCAAGTTGGCCCCCAGTTTCGCTTGTAATTGGAAGATCTTTGCAAATTGTCATCAGCTTAAGCTACTTAATGGAGTGAAAGGTGTCAGTCGTTTCCCTAATCTCCTCTCATCACCATGGCAACCATCTAACCAAGGGAGATGTGATCCTAGGACCTTATCCCTACTTTGATTATTCATGATTCACACCACCATCATGGTTTTTCTTCGAGTTTTGAAGGAACAAGTTTTCTAAAGTTTATTTGCTCATGGAAATGGATTACAGATGAGGACCATCTGTAGGGGGGGGTACCCACAGGTGAGATTACGTCTTACTCATAACACACTTTAAAACAATATCAGATCCCTAAGGAGAGAGTGGGGCAGACCCATCACTGACAAATCTGAATTTTTTTTCTGCTTCTCTGGTTTTGTTTATTTCGTATTCTATTTTGATATCCACCCTCCATGTGACTGCTAATATTATTCTTGCACATGTCCTGTTTTCCCTCTGTCTTTCATTTCGTTGCTTCTCTTGCCTCTCTTAGTTCGTTGAACCCCTCCCTGCTCCTGTCACCATCACAATTTGGAGACTGGGCCCAGACTCCTTTAGCACTGCGAATTGCCATTTCTCTAGCTTGTGGTAAGGACATGTTCCTTTGACCGCAGAGAAGAGGAGTGTTAGCAGTGACTCATAAATTGATGCCAAAATTAGAGAAAGCCTGAGAAAGGAGGGCCCAGGAGAGCATAGCAATAGGAGAAATAGTGTATTTTCAAAAGGTTGTATGTTTTTGAGTAAGTGACTTCATCTCCCTTATGCTAATAGGAAACCATAATAATGCTTACCCTCCAGGGAATATGCATTTATATAGCCACTCAAAAATACTTATGGAGCCTACAGAAAATCATCAAATCACAAAGGAAGAGAGCAAGAAAAGAAGAACAAAGGAATTACAAAATAGCCAGAAAACAACAAAATGGCAATAATAAATCTATAGCTGTCAATAATTACTTTAAATGTAAATGGACAAATTCTCTAATCAAATTCTCCAAAACAGTGGCTGAATAGATAACAAAAACAAAACCCATCTATATGCTGCCTGCAAGAGACTCTCTTCAGCTTTAAGGACACATACAGACTGAAGGTGAAGGGAGAAAAAAAGATATTCCAAGCAAACAGAAACCAAAAGAAAGCAGGGGTAGCTATACTTATATCAGACAGAGTAGACTTTAAAACAAAGACAAATAAGAGACAGAGATGGGCATTACGTAATGATAAAGGAGTCAATCAAACATGAGGATATAACATTCATAAGTATTTATGCACCCAACATAGAGACACCTAAATATATAGAGCAAATCTTAACACACCTGAAGGGAGAAATAGAGCAATACAATAATAGTAGAGGACTTTAATACCTCACTTTCATCAATGGATAGATAATCCAGACAGAAAATCAATGAGAAAACATTGGGCTTAAACCACACATTAGATCAGATGGACTTAACAGATATACACAGAACATTCCATCCAAAGCAGCGAAATACACATTCCTCTCAAGTACACACAGAACATTTTCCAGGTTACAAAAGACTCGTTTTGTTAGCTCACAAAACAAGTTTTAATAAATTTAAGAAGATTTAATCATATCCACCATCTTTTCCAAACACAATGGTATAAAACTAGAGATAAATTGCAAGAAGAAAACTGGAAAATTCATAAATATGTGGCGACTAAACAACATGCTACTGAATAACCAATGGGTCAGAGAAGCAATCAAAAGAGAAATAAAAAAATATCGAGAGACAAATGAAAATGGAAATACAACATACAAAACTTATAGAATGCAACAAAGGCAGTTCTAAGAGGTAAGTTTATAGCAATAAATACGTACATTAATAGACAAGAAAGATCTTGGGGCTGGCCCAGTGGCGTAGTGGTTACGTTTGCATGCTCCACTTCAGTGGCCCGGGGTTTGCAGGTTCAGATCCAAGGCATGGACCTACACACCACTCATCAAGCCATGCTGTGACAGGCATCTAACATATAAAATGAAGGAAGATGGGCATGGATGTTAGCCCAGGGCCAGTCTTCCTCAGCAAAAAGAGCAAGATTGGCAACAGATGTTAGCTCAGGGCTAATCTTCTCACCAAAATAAAATTTAAAAATAAATAAATAAATACACTAGAAAGATCTCAAATAAACAACCTAACTTTACACCTCAAGGAACTAGAAAAAGAAGAACAAACTAAGCCTAAAGTTAGTAGAGGGAAGGAAATAACAAAGATAAGAGCAGAAATAAATGAAATGGAAACTAAAAAGACAGTAGAAAAGATCAATAAAACTAAGAGCTGGTTTTTTGAAAACATACACAAAATACACAAACCTTTAGCTAGACTCATCAGGAAAAAAAAGAGAAAAGACTCAAATAAATAAAATCAGAAATGTAAGAGGAACATTACAACTGACACCACAGAATACAGAGGATCATAAGAGACTACTATGGACTTTTATAAGCCAACAAATTAGACAACCTAGAAGAAATGGATACATTCCTAGAAACATACAACCTACCAAGATTGAATCATGAAAAAAAAAAAAAACAGAAAATCTGAATAGATTACTGGTAAAGAGATTGAATCAGTAATCAAAAACCTCCCAACGAACAAAAATCCATGACCAGATGATTTCACCGGAAAATTCTACCAAATATTTAAATAAGAATTAATACCAATCCTTCTCAAACTCTTACAAAAACTAGAAGAGAGGGGAA